TCGTGCCCCGCGATATGATAATGCAGGACGGCAACCACGGCATCGACCCCCCCCCCAATAGCTGGCCAAACAGTGGTCACAGCATACCGGTACTCGAGCAGCTTACTGTATGGCACGGCACAGTTCGGTAGGGTCCTAACGGTTGCCATGCCCAGTCTCCTCCAGGCACATGCCATGATATGAAGGTCAAGATGGGAGAAAGACAAGACAAAAAAGCAAGCTATCATTCTGATAGCCCAGTCAAATGGAATACTACCATCTTATATTACAAGTCGCTCCAGAACAATAAAATTACGGGCGAAACATTTGCCGAGCACCGACCGAGCCGAAGTGTCCGTCGGTCCGGGCAGCTCTCCGATGTCTGATACGATACATAGAACGATCCTTCCCCCCCTTTCAGCTTTCATCACGTCAAAGCTCAACAACAATAACAAGGCTGCCACGGTACCCGTATATAGATAGATGGGTAGTGGAAAGTCTAGAACCGATAAACCACTCTAGCATGTTCTCCTGGGTGGATGGTTTTATTTTTATATCAGGTTGATCAGAAAGAAAGGGGAGGTAATTTGGTGAGACTTGTACGATCGTACAATGCGCACCAACTTAGCTCGAGTAAAATGCGTACATAGCCACATTTGGCAGTCCTTCCTTTCTTCCTCACCTTCCCCTTCCCCTCCATCTCCTTCATCCTCCTTGGCACGTTATTTGCTATATAATAGCAAAACGGGAAAACAGGCTAGGGGTGATATAACGCTTACCCTTCCCCCCCCCCGTGATGGTCACGTTAAATTATGATATTATAGACAAAATATATTTGAGCTATGATACTATTTATTATCATTTTCTAATTCACCCCCACCCCCGACACACACACTTTCCCACCCCTTTATTACCGTATCCTATCGAAAAGCTTGATATAGTATTGTATAGATACTTTTTTGCTTTGGGCTGGTGTGTTGGGGGAGGAATATTACTTTCTTCCAAGGCGTTATCAATCTCGCTCTCCCTTCCTAAGGCGGGGGGGGAGTAAATGTACGATACGAGTACTTTTGCCGCAGCGGTTTATTTTTATTATTCCCTCCTTCCTCCAGTTCCACTCGAGTGAGCGAGTGAGCGAGTGCCCAACACCGGTATGCTCTCCTGCGCTATGATGGGTGGAGGTGAACCACTCGCGTTACACGGAAGGACAAGAGGATATCATAACCGTGTGACAATGTACTAGCGCAGTACTGTACGATCGCAGTTTACTCGAGTATACGACCGCACTAGTCAGTGCCGGTACTCCAGAGTACGATAGGTGGCGGAGCAGAGATCTATCCATCTACTTCGTACCGTAATAGTACTAGCATACTACAAGTATTACTCCTTCCCCCGCCAAACGCGCGATTGACTAGCGCAAGCTGACCGACCTAGACCTACTACGCATCGAGTTCTTCTTCTTCCTTCTCCTGCAGCACAGCACAGGAACAGGACAGGGGGGAAGGATATTATCCTCGGCTCCTTCCGACCTTTGATGATGATATACCTACCGGTACTGTACGGTGCAGGTAAGGGTTATCACTATGCAATATCCTTACTTCTTATTCTTCTTCTCCCCCCCCCCACGGAATAATATAATAAGTAACTGGACTACCGTTAGCTAGCTAGCTAGCTAACTATCCAATACAGTAAGTGCTCACAGTGCCCTGATGTTATCATCGTGCTTGAGGCTGGGCTGAAGATAAATAAAGTGCCGGGCGATGGTCGTCGTTGAAACAAAAAAAAAAAAAAAAAAAAAAAACTGCCGAGCTGTGTGTGTCCCCCTCCCACAACTTTTTGAAATCCTCTTTTGAGAAAAAGGGATGGAAAGTGCAGTTACGGTAGGTAAGTAGGTAGGTAGGTAGGGAATGAGGTACAAAGTGATTGACAGTTATACACGTTAATTGGTAATTTGCATTGTATACCGTAGTTAGAATCTTGTTTTTTTTTCCTTTCTTCTTCTTGTATGATAGGATTTGGGAAAGTTACCGGTAATGATAACTACTCGCACAATATGGAGAAGACATGCCCATTTACTCCCTTCCCTTCCCTTCCCTTCAACCTCCCTCTCTTTTCGCCCCCGAGCACACTACCGTACTCGAGTATCATACGTGCATGCGTGACGTTACCTGCGTCCCAAAAAGAAAAGAAGAAAAAGAAAAAAGAAAAAGAAAAAAGTGAGGCTTATTGGCACTTGTACTGTACTCGTACTGGTACAGTACCCTATTGCACAATCGATGCGTGCAGCTAATTAATTTAATTATGATGCTTACTAGTACTCGAGTACTAGACTATGGCGTATGAATCAACTCCTCTTCGCAAAAACTACTTCAAGTACGGTAGTAAACCAAGCCAATTATAGCTTAGCTTATAATACATACCGGTAGCTTAGCTTAGCTGAGCTGAGCTGAGCCGAGATCGGACTCACCCATACCTCATCCATCTACGGTAGTCTTATCATATACTTCTCGCAAGTACCGAGAATTCCTCAAAGATAGAATAATAATAATATACAAGTACGGGTACAAGTAGATAGGATATCACGTGGACTTGCAAAAGGTTTGTTTGTCCTTTTTTGTTTTTCGAAATTACAGTGAGATCCTCCGCTGGACGAAATGGTTACGAGTATCAAATGAGGTATGATACAGTACTTGGCAAGCCACTGAAACTCTAACTCGAGTTATGATAGAATCTGTGATACAAGTGCGGGTTACGAGTAGAGAGCCTCGTCCGTGAAAATCGTATTAAAAATTAAAAAAAAAATTAAAAAATCAACGTCGCACAGAGCGTGATACTGTAATATATCGTCATGATGCCCCAAGTGGGAAGAACAAATATAAGGCGAACTTAAGGGGTAATACAATATTACCGGTACAAGTACAGTACTTGTACAGTAAAGAAGGAAGTGCGGAGTGCACACTTATGATAACGTGGCAAGGCTCTATCAATTCGTTTCACCGGACTTCGCCCTCTCTCCCTCCCTCTCTCTCTTTTCCATTTCCCCCCCCCCCTCCTTCTACGGGTTTTCTTAGGCCGCTGATCCCCTTTCAATTGGGGCGTTGTTTTCCGCTCAACTGGTCTTGCATGGCGGTGGGGGCAATGGGGGTAATTGGTCTTTTTCCGATTTTGTTATGATATTCCTTTTTTTTTTTTTTTTTTTTTTTCGTGGGCAAATTCCCGAGTTTGTGTCCGGTAAACCAGAGTATAGTATCTGATTTTTCGGCCGGGCCCCCCCCCACCTCCCCCGATGAACGTTTGTTTGTTTGCGCGATGGAGTTCTGAAAAAAAAAAAAAGAGAGAGAGAGAGAGAATGGACTCAGTGAGAGCTCTGGACAATTCCCTTTTTTCTTTTTCTTTTTCTTTTTCTTTTTTCTCTTCCATTCCGGGGTTTACGGAGTTTCGCGACTTTTAAAATGTGCGTACTAGAGCACTATGCGGTCTGCTCCGGCATCGCGAGTGGCTGTGGCCACCTCCCGTCTTGGCAGCGGTTGTCACATCCTGCTGTGCGAGTGCAGTGCTTGGCGTTTATAAAGTATTCGGACACCTTGGCGTTAATACTAAGTGTCTCGGTGACCTGTTGTCCGAATATTTTATATCTAGCCGGGTATGTACGTACAAGTAAGTTGGGCGGCAGCCCACTCTTCTCCTCAAACTGCTTGCTTCTGACTGTTTGTCTTGAGGTCAGAGTTTCTATCGCACGCCAAGTCTGTCTCAGGTACAAGCAGACGCCCGTTTTTATGCAGCCACTTCTAGCGAACTCGAGAAATCTCGCGAACCCCGGAACAGACTATGCCTTACCATTCCTGGATCTGAAAGTTTGTGATTCGATTCGATTGGTTTATTGATCGATGAGGGGGGGGGTTCTCCTTTCTTTTTTCTTTTTTTCTTTTTTTCTCTTTTTCTTTTTCTTTTTTCTTTTCGCCCGGGATTAGGATTGGATGCAGGGTTTTTTTTCTTCTTGTTAATCTTCACTTTAACTTTCACCCTTACCTTTCTTCCCTTGCTTACTCACACAGTACGGCCTTGGGTGGTTAGGGATTTTTTTTTTTCTCGAGGTAAAGCGCGGGGAGCGTTGATGCTCCCGACGGGGGGGGTTTTAGTGGGGGTGGGAGTTCCTGGTCCGTGGATTTTTCGGTTACTTATGATTCTTGGGAACAACATGACGTGAGTTTTGTTAAGTGTTTTTTCTGCTAGTACCGGCAGATGGAATGGGCGCGCTGAGTGGTGGGTGGCGTGTTCTTGGGCTTGTTGAATTGATGTTTGGTTTGCAATAGGAAGTGATAGGTGCCCCCCCCCCATGGGCACTAGTTCGTTTGATATCATGTGCGAACATCAACAACCTGGGTAGGTTTTACAAAAAAAACCTTTGAGGCTACAATACCGTACTCGTACTGCACTCGAGTACCAGTTGGCGCTTTGTGTTGGTGTCAAGGGTATAGACTATCACTAATTTGCCATTGCCAACCAGTCGGGCTTGCTAGCTCTATGGCACCATGGATCGGTATGAAAGTAGTAGGAGCAAGCAAGCGAGTGCTAACTTGGTGTGATGAGTGTGGTGATGGTATTTATACAATTGGGATTGGGCTGCTCCAAAGTTGGTCATATGACACAATTGCCGGTAAGGTTCGAGTCCGAGGGGGAAAAATAACCTGACGGTGAATTACGGTACAGCACCCGACAATTTGCGCGATGGCACAATTACGAGTACTCATTTACCCCAACTACTGGTATCATGGTTGGGATTTGGAATAAAGGCTTCTCCTCCCAACTACGATACTGCTGGTGTACTGCGCCTGTTTCGGCAGCTAGCACCTCCTCGCGTGTATGCGAGGGTGGGAGTCCGACAGACTGCCGTCCGATGGGGTGATGTGTGATACCTCGTGCGGCGAGCATTTCACATGGTTGTGATGGTTAAATGGGGATTGGAGCACTTGACACAAAACTTCCAAATGGACGGACCAATTGCAACCCCCCGCAGAAAGTTATCGGAACAGAATGGCAAAGTTGTTTCTCGTTCTCCCCGGGTTCACTTCCTCCTTCCTGTTGAACTCCTTCTGCCGTCCTGACGATTGAACTTTGCCAACATGACGCCAGAGTTGGTATATCAGTTTGGCTGAAAGTTTCCTCCTAGCCAACCGGTACCCTAGATTTCCCATCATTTCCTCCAATCGCTTCTCATCCAGATAACGGGAGTTCGTGACGCACGGAGCAGGCAGAACAAGGAATAGCGATGGAAATAGTTCCGTCAGGCGGCTTTCCCGCCCCTTCCCCTCCTCCCCTTCCAATGATGTGTGCTGCAGGAATTCTGTTGTCCGCCCAAGCATTCCCCCACGCGCTGCTGGAAGAGACACGTAGTTTAGCACGAGAGACAGTGAGATGATGTCGAACCTCTCCCCGTCGGTAGTGGGGATAGGTCGATCCATAAAGTCCTGTGCCTCAATGCTTGGATCCCGTGAATTGAGGTCGATTCGCGTCACGTCGAATAGGCTCGACCTTGAGCACGCGTTGTCAGGGCTTAGAGCCCCCACCTCAAGGAGTCGTAGCTTTTTGTTCGTGACCTTTTTATTTGGCGATGATCGAATGGTTTCCCTTAACCAGTCGATCAATACTTTTGAGGAATCCCCTCCTCGTTGGTTATCTTGACCGCACACCTATTGTAAATGAAACACATAATTCAGTTCAAGCGTTCGTCTCTTTTTTTTTTTTTTTACCCTTCCACGCTCGCCACTTTACTCATCAAGCTCTCAACACCGTACCCCCCCATCGGCAGCTAACAAGTACACACCACGACCATCACATCACATCACACGCATAAGCGAAAAAAAAGGGTTGAACAAGAATTCCAGGGGCAATGATGGTGATGGACGCACGCTTGCCTGCTGATACCTTTCAATCCCACCGTTTGCCTCGATCTCCGCTCGGATAGAGTTTGCAGTTTCGGTATCATTTTTGGACAGAGCCTGCGAGAGCCTCTTTTGCAAAGTGTGATGACTCCGAATGAGAGTCCTTCCGACCTTTGACGATAAAGATGACGTGTTGGAAAAAGGCCTTGAAGCTATGACTGATGGCCCACCACCTCGCAAACCGCGATGTCTGGACAACAAGATCGACCCGGTCTTTTTCGTCTTCTTCCTCACCCGCGTCATTGAAGGAAATTGAAGTGAGCTGTTGGGGTATTTGTTGAAGTTCGATCTGCTGTGGCCGCTGCCGGTTGTTGTTGGAGCCCGCTAGAGCAGTCTCATAACCAACCGGTAAAGGCGTAAGAAAAAAAAATTTTGATGAAAATTAGGCCCGAAAAGGCAAGACGACCATTCCCACCTTGACCCCCGCGCCCGCAACAAAACTGCAGCAGCAACAATCAGGCAACAGTCTACTCGTACTGATTTGCGCACTCGATAGACTATCTCCGAAAGTAATGTAAGGTACAGCAGCCTAGCAAACAGGTGATCGAGCTGACAACCGACACCTAACAGACCTGACACGGACACGGCAAGTGATATTGAAAAGGCTTTCTCCGTTAAGAAACGCTTGAAAACAGATTCGAAGGGCAGGGGGAAAAAAGTGCCGATGTCGGTGATGAAGCACCAAGGGCTCGGTTCTTGGAGAATGACGGGCGATCCCACGCACAGGGTCCAGACCAGCCACCGGGTCCCTGGGTATGCAATGATGCGACATGGTCACCTTACGTTTTTATTTTTATTTTTATTTTCCTATCTCCGCCTCCTTCTCCTACGAGTACTCGAGTACCGGTAGGTGCGGATAGTTAGGAGAAGGGCAGCAGGTATGGGGGGAGTAACCTGAAGGGAGAGGAAAAGAAGGGGAAATAGTGGCGATACCTGCCACGATACAACGTTCAATGATAATTCACCCTGCTGAAGTAGCAGGGGCAACAACGAGAGGCGAATTATATGTCAACTGTTACGCCCTTTGTGCGCCTCTCTCGCTAACTGGAGCTATTGTCACGCCAAACTGGAGGGCAACTATGAAGCACCTAATTACGCCATACAGTTACGGACTACGCATACCGGTATTGTATTGTGCGGTACTGTATCACAGCATGCTTCCCACATAATTCATCTACTTACGGTCATCCGCAGAGCTCTCCTGCGGTGAAATTGACTCAGCTTCACATTTTGCGCCTCTTGAATAATAATAATAATAATAATAATAATAATAATAATAATAATAATAATAATAATAATAATAATAATAATAATAATAATAATAATAATAATAATAATAATAATAATAATAATAATAATAATAATAATAATAATAATAATAATTTCATATCTCGCTTTCCTTTTTTATGCACCTTCCCACGATTCTGGCGTCCGTCGGGCAAGCAAGCTCAGGCACGAGCACAAGCTACAGTACCGACTGTGTGCGCGGATTGCATGGGTGGTGGGGGTGTGTCTGCACGGCAACCGCACTTTTGGAGAGCAAAAAAGAGAGATTCTCAAAGCGCGGTGTTCGTGATCGGTCCAGCAGATTCGAAGTACGCTTCGCACTTCCACTTGTGTCAGTGCATCTCCTGCTCTAATCTGGTTTACTGCATGGAACTCGAATGGAACTTAATATTTTGAGATTCGCCCTACAACGAGCGATATAGGGCTAACAATGATCCGGAGTCAGCCACAATATGATATTTCCGCGCTGAAAGGGAAGGAGAAAAAAAAAAAAAAAAAAGAGAGTAAACATGACAGATGCTACGTTTCCGATGTGAGATACCTGTCTCCTTGCAAGGTTACTGGTATTATCATACCTTGGGGGGAAACAGAAAAGGAATTATCATACGTACCATATTATGGACATATATTCCGGATCCACCGAGGCTCCTGTATCTGTATCGTAGGGGGTTCCCATTCGTGGGAAATTTTTCCATCTTTCTTTTACACTACCAGGTTGCAAACGCTATCCTGATTTGACATGGGAATGGCTTATTCGATGACCCACCTTTGTTTCTGATATTATATTTTAGGAGGATCGGTGCACGAGCACAGTACCGCACAGCAACGAAGGGAGGAGGAAAAGCAAAAAGAATGCAAAACACACAGCGGGGAGAAGCAGGAAAACAAAAGTTGAAGGCTTTGACTGGGCCCCGGAGGAATCGTATCACATCCCAATTACGATATTTCGATTGCAAAAAAATAAAACCGCGCAGGGAAGTTACGACACGATACGGTATGATATGGCAGGGGAACATGATTACGAAGCGGTTACTGCCATTCCGGGCACTCCATCGCACTTATACGGAGTGTGATGCCGGTACAGTACGGTAGGGAATGGATTAGAGTATTGTGGTGGGGTGGGCCGTGGTAGGAAATCGAATCGGTCCCCCGCAATCACAATCCACCCACGAATCGTGCCATAGCTACAGGAACAGCCGGAGCGCCGGAGAAACCGGTCTTAAGCCTCGATCGTTTTTCTCTAGCCAGGTTTTGCTCGTTTTTTTTCTCAATGGACCGGCCCGGACGGTAAACAGTTGATCTTCCGATTATGCTAGTGACCTGCCTCATTTTTTGTTTTTACCTATCTACATGTACTCGTATACAAAAAAGGATTACATGTACCATATATATATACACCGATATATCGTAGCCGACAAAGAGCCGGTTCTTTACGAGCGAACCGAAAATAATCAAGAGGGGCCCCAACGATTGAATTATATGCAATGGCTCTCGCCACAACATACAGTAACGTGGTAACAAATTGGGACTTAAAAAATTTACTCGAGTAAAGGTAAGCGAAAATGGTAATCTCCCGAACTCAAAACCCGCCCCCATTGCGACAGGGTACGGTGCTAACGCTGAGCTGAATACCGGTAACCCAAAAAAGTGACTTTGACATCGAGATTTGAGAAACATGTTCTTGAGTAATTGGGGCACCGCGAACCAACCTATAATCTCGGACTTTTGACAAATCCATCGGTTTCGTTGATATCAATCAGGTTTACCAGCGTTCTGGGGGCGTGCGGGTACTGTGCCGGGGGTTAAGAGTAAACGAGGCGGGCCTGCTCTGGCTGAGGAATGAAGCCAAAATTGGCCCTCCATATGGTTACACGCTCCTAATTTTGGCCAGCAAAACTCGAGTTCGCCTCCCCTATGCTCACCTTAACTACGAGTACAGTACTCGAGTAGGATAACCGTGCGGCATGCGAATAGGTAAGCATCGGGCCCTCCTCCCCCCCTTCTTTCTTGGAGACCATTGGGAACTTGCCCCGGCTAACAATTGAAACTGAAGTTTTTTCTTGGCCAAATATCATCACGTTTTATACCTGTACAGTATGTGCAGTGCAAGAGCACGAAGGCTGTCGTATTGTATACTTCTGCGTCACGGCATTTGTACCGGTCGGTAGAGTATGTCCTGCCCAGCACCAGATTCGATCCCAATCCAACGAATAAGCCGCAACCCACCCGCCAGCAAGCCAGTTAACCGTCATGCCATTGGCTCGCAGGACCTTGCCTTACCGTGCTTACTTACTCGAGTGCCTTACTCCAGTGCTCTCAAAATATTGGGGATATTGAAAATAAAAATAAAAATAGGTCCAACGGGTACCGCCTTGCTCTCCAATATGAGTGCTTCACCTCCTGCGCACAGCACAGCACTCGAATACGGTAGTGTACTGTACTTGGGGTTCGAGTACTGTAAGCGTGTCCAACCTCTCATTGGCTGGATGGAACCGTCGACCGCCAGGAGAGCAGAATTTTCCCCCAGCCACTGAAGCAATGGTTCGACAGACTTTTGCTCAGACCCAGGCACAGTACCATCCTCACCCATCCGGATTGACGCGGAGTCCGGAATGTAGAGCTCGATAAATGATGTATATACTTGGTGTCCTAATTACTCTCCCACGCACGGCATGGCAAGGCATGGCAAGGCGATAGCTCCGCTGGTTCAAATGAGGTCGAAAGAGGAAACAAAAAGGAAGAGAAAAAAAAAGGAAGGTGGAATTGTCCAATGGACTATTGCCGTCTAGCTAGTAATGATTGATTGATTGATTGACAATGTGTTTTATATCACGATTGCGGGGGGGGGGATAGCCACTGTAGCCAGTGCGGAGCTAATACGTCAAACTAAAGCAAGACATAACGTTGAGACAAATTTGACCAGGGCGATACTTGATACCGGACGGTACCGGGGCAAAGTAGAGCAAGTCAAAGTAAAAAAGTACGAAATTAGCACGTGGAAGGGGGATTTCCCTCTCCCGTTCCCCGACTTTTTTTTTTTTTTTCTTCCTTTTTTTTCTTTCCATTGCTTTTTGTCCTCTACGCTTCGTCAATTAATTGGTCCCTTGAGCTTCCAACTTTTTCTGAGGAAATGGGATGGGATGGAAGGGAATGGAGCGGACGTGGTCTCCCGTGTTCGCGGTATCTACCATCTACCCGTTCATTCGTCGCTCACCTGTGCTTTGTGCAAAAAAAAATTTTGTCGAACCGGCCTTAAATGAAGGGAGTTATGATAACGTAGCGGTATTATAGGATTCTGTGGTAAGTACAGTACAGTACAGCATTGGACAGTAATCAACCCAATCCAGCCGAGCGGGACAAAAAACTTTTTCTTCTTCCTTTTCTTCTTCTTCCTCCCTCTTTCCTCTCGGTATATACGGCACCTGCGGTACTGTCCATGATACCAGACCTGAGACGGCAGAAATGCAAGCGAGCAAGAAGAAACGGATCTATATCTCCTGCACGTCCCATTCCCGTGGGGTTTTCCAGGCACGGATTGTTTAGCCCGACCCTTTTTATTTTTATTTTTATTTTTTATACCTTCATTTCTTTTACCTTCTGTTGTCCCATTGGTCGTTATTTACCTTGGGTTTCGTTATTGGGCGGTTAGTGAGTGATTGGCGGTACAGTACTTGTACTGAATCCGTGGTTATGATAAAAAAAACGTAGTTTACTCGATTACACGGCGGGTTTGTTGTCGTAGGGGGTATGATGATGCATTGATAAGTTTGATGAGCAACTGACATGGTACTGTGCAAGTACTCGTACAGTACCGCCCAGGAACGTGTTTACAGTACCGGTAGGTGAGGAAAAAAGAAAAGAAAGGGCCAGGGTCATCTTATCAGGGAGAAATGGAAGAGGTGGATTGTTTTAAGCCTCTTCGGCAAAGTACACAGCTCTGGTTATGGTGTAGCGTATGTACAAGACCGGACAAAGCAGAGTGAACCGCATCCCCGGGTTTTCTGCGC